TAAATGATTTAAAACATGGAAATATATAATAAAAAATAAAATAATAATACATAAAATAATAAATAAAATAATTCCTGAGTCCTCAGGAATGGCAACGCATGAGGGCTATCATGAGCGAAACAGTACTCGTATGTGTGTGTACTGTTTCGCTCATGATATACGAGTATTATGTATTTTTATACTTATACTGTACTGTTATGGCCATGGTACTGCTCATGTCTATAGGCGACGGTTTTCCATCAGGTGGGCCGTCAGCTTGTTTGCCATTCTAAGTCGTATAAAAAAAAATGTTTGCATATGTTTTGTTCGTCGTAAGAGTCGACTAAGAGAAGACGAGGGACGGACAGCAGCGTCCCTTTAAAAACATCTCCAAAGTCTAACTATGGTTGCCAATCTGCCTGCCAAGCGTGGTAACTATTTGCAAAATAGTAGCTTATGATCATCAGTTGTCAGTTAAAGGCTGATATGATGATGATGATGATAATGATACTGCACATGATTATTAATTATGAATGATACGTCAAAATCATTAATTATAACTATTTATTCAACTTTTATATTATTCTCCAATAGATTTCATGATGAAAAACAAATGTAAGTAACCCAGAATGTCTCGAAAGCTGTTTTTAATTCATACTAGTTTCACAGTCCTACCCCACATCCTATCCCTTAAACCAAAAATCAGTCATACAAGCACAGTAATATGAACTTATACATATGCAACTCTTATTCATTCTTTATTTCTATTTTTTCAGTCAAATATATTTTTTTATATTTTGTTCATTTATATTTAAAATACCTATAAATAAACCACATACCGTACCATATAAACCCTTAATTTTCCATTGCTGAAAATAGGCTTCTCGTATTGGGGGTTTTGCCAGTAGTTGCCACGCTTGACATGCGAGTTGACAATCACAGTTAGGCAAGGGAAAGGGGATTGTTAGTAATGGAGTTTGACAGCCCCATTGCTAGCAATATGCCTTATTAGGTCGACCTCCACGTGGTTCCCCCTGGAAACCATCGTCAACAATTCTTGTTAAATTCGTCACGATGGGCTAACTGACCTACTTCATCTCCTCACCTATCATCCTTCACTGGTACCCCGCCGCGCCGCGCAGGTGGGGTTACCATTCCAATATCATCCATTAGAAAAGAAAACCACAGTTAGGCCTTGGTGCTATTTTAAGAGAGTCGCTGCTGCCCATCCCTCGACCATTAATCTCCCTTAGTCACCCCTTGCGACACCCACAGGAAGGGAACAGCTGTCCAATTCTATACAAAATAAACAAAATATACAATAGAAATTCTTCAAAATGTCCGATCAAATATTAGTACTTTATATTACAAGTTGCATATATATTAAATGTATATGAGTCGCGACAAATCCACACAAAGTTTCCCTTACGACCCTTCTTCATTCAACCTTATACACAGACTAACATTGCCTATCTGATACTAGTTATAGAACAAATAGAGAAGTCAGTTAATGACATTTCATTATCTGTCTTCACCCACATCGTATACTCTTTACTCACTCACTTTATACTATATTTTGTGAAGAGAAAATAAACCATTCATTCATTCATTTATTTATTCATTTATGAATCAGTTAAATCAAAATTAAATATTAATATATTTAATTTTGATAAGTAAGTCAGTACTTTATATTATTCTCAAATTCGTGTATAATAGTATATTTTATATATATGTAAGTATATTTGTTATTTATATATGTATGTATATCAATAATTACTAGTACCGCATTCAAGTATTCTGACACTTCCCTATGGTTGACTGGGAGAGAATGCTTTTATCATTAAGTCCGCCATGTACACATATATGTACTAATGAATAAATAAATAAATAAAATATATTTAAATTAATAACATTTGTCAAGTATTAATACAGATTATTTATCACCAAATAAATATTTATCTCACTCTAGGTTTATGCCCATAATTTCTTACGCGTGGAGAAACCCACTACTTCTAAAAAGAAATAGAAAAATTAATAACTAAAATAGCAAATGCTGTCATGTGGTTCCGGTATAGAATGAGCCAGCCCTTCCTTTCCCGTGGGGGTCGTAAGAGGCGACTAAAGAAACTTAACGGTCGAGGCAGTCGATAGGCACCAGCATCCCTCTTAAAACATCACCAAAACCTATCTGCGGTTACAACCCGCCTTCCAGTCTGGGGGGAAAGGGATTGTTAGTAATGGAGACTGAGAATCCCATTGCTAGCAATATACCCAACCAGGTCGACCCCACGCGGTTCTCCCTGGAAATTATCATGGTTAATTCATGAATTCATCGGATGGGCTAACTGGCCTGTTTTCATTCTCATCTATCACCCTTTACTGGTGCTCCGCCAGCGTATCCCGTTAGCGCAGGCGGGGTATACCATTTTCATCCATTAAAAAAAAACCCGCCATCAAGTGTGGCAACTATGTACTAGCAGAACCCCTCAATAGTAGAAGATCTATATTTTGCAGGGAATATTTAACGGCTGATATGGTATAATAAGGTAGCAAATATACAAACTTACTTTCACATTTATAAGTAAGTATATGACTACTATTGATTTTCGAAAGCTCGACAACTCGAAAACAGTTTTAATTCCCAATTAATCACTGTAGATAGACGAAGGTGTACCCAGACGTATTAATTATACTGCCGACTTGGCATAGTAGCTGTCTGGGCCCATTAATTATACTGTGACATTAATATCGCACGATTTCACTGAGGTAACTTGATGAATTAAGTAATAATGGAAACAGTTCCACTTATTTTTGTATTATAAATCATTATGAATAATTGTCTAAATGTTATTGTGTTTACCGATTTATTAAAACAGGTGAAGCGATTTTATAGAAAATGGCGTAAGAGTTTAGGTAACGAAGTATGAACAAAGATTTCGGAATACAATAGACGGGATGCATAATTCACATAGTGTGTTGGTCGTTGTATTTATGACATTTTCAATGCGTTAAAGAGGGATAGGTATATCAAAACGCATCTACCTTTTGACTAGTCCATAGAAGTGAAATTCATCCAAATATATCACTTGGTTTTATTGAGCATATAACCCTACCAAATTCAGATACCACCTGCTTACATACCTTCTACATAAACTGTGTCGAATATATAATCTAGTAATGTTAATGAACAAAAATTCTACATACACATTTTCTATACACTTGCCTGCTATTAATTGAAAAAAATAGCAACTAATGGTGTATCTTTCGTCCTCTTCTTACTAATTAAATTTTGTACTTGAAGAAAGATGGCAACCATATGATTTACAATTTTTATTTTATCATTCCTTGTATATAATTTCTTGTTTTTAGAATATAAATATTTTGTTTCGTCTTCAGATCATGAATATATTGATTGATAATCTAAAAGAAAAAATGTAGCAACATGTATTTTTGAGCGATATTGACATGGAAGTTCAATTGCACAGTATAAGCTCGAAAAGGATTAAGCGGGAGTATGAACAAAATTAATACTGATTTTGTTTTGAAATGTTTTAAGCGTATTTAAATTGGTTAGTGTTAAATATGCTATATCTAAATAGAACAAAATAGTGAAAGAAAGTACCAAAATTTTATAGAAAAGGATATTTAATTTAACCTAAATAAAGCACGTCCGCAAATATAAGAAAAATATATGAATTTTTGCTATTTTTGTAACTTCAATAACAATCGTATTTAAATTCATAAATATGGGGGGAAAGGGATTGTTAGTAATGGAGATTAAGAACCCCATTGCTAGTAATATACCTAACCAGGTCGACCTCCACGCGGTTCCCCTGGAAACTGTCATGGTTAATTTCTGATGAATCCATCATGATGGACTTCCCACCTTCACTGGTGCCCCGCCAGCGTATACGGTCGGCGCAGGCGGGGCTACCATTGCATTTTCATCTATCAAAAAAAATTCATAAATATGACATGCACACATTTACAATATACGCACACTAGTTTATTGCTTTATTTTTGTTATTGTATTTCCAGTCTGTCATAGACATAGATTAAGAATAGCAGTCCCTTTCTACACTGTCAGTACGTGAGTACATCCACACTACGTCTATGGTATCATTACTCTTTTCTATAAGCATAATTATACAAGGTGGCTAAGGTAACAAAACACAAGGCCATAAGAATAAATAGGCCGGGTAGAATAGACAATCGTGTGATTTGTAAATGTGGGAATGCAGCAAAATGTAGGTATTTTCTGGCCTCGCATAATTTGAAATTTGAAAAACTTCTAATAAATCTATTCATATTTAACAAATGGCTTTAATTGGTAGAAATAAATTAGTAGCTGATATTTGAAAAATATATGGGCCAGAAAACGCCGCCTTCCATACCTTGTTACAAGCGTTATCTACTATTTTTATATTTCTTTTTATACATAAAAATAGGTTTTAATATAATCAAATTGTAAGAAGTAGATATCTGTACATGAGGTATTTAAGAAAAATTGGTATGAAGTATCTTTATAAAAGCAATAGAAACCAAAACCATAATTTATAGAAATCTTGTTTTTCTATTTGTCTATTTATTCTGGTTCAACACAAAAATCACTGCATTAAATTGGATGCGTTTTATACAGTTATATTTCAGAAGGTCAAAGTTAAAATTTGCTACATTTTATCTGGAAGTGATCTCTCTTTGGTTTTTCTACTTCTGAAAACCATGCGTACCCAGTGGTGAGCAATTAAATAAAACTCATGGTTGCTTAGAGGGTATAAATAGAGTTTTATGTAATGAAAATGAGAGTTTATACAAAATGTTCAATAAATGCCTCTGAGTACTCTGTGTGGTATTATAGTCATGAACATAAATATTTATTTCTTACTGTTAATGTTATATCGTCATAGTCGTAGAATACTGACGGATCTGACGAAGATTACATATAAAGATCCGTCAGTATTCTACGACTATGATGATATTATAATACATTATATAGGCCATTTTTATGTATAAGCCTTTTTACTCCGAATTCTCTATAACCCTAGTAAGACATATTTTCCCCTTTCTATTTATTATAATATATCTCTCAATTCGGTGTGCCTCCTGGCATAGGCCTCCTCCAGCTCTCTCCACTGAACTCTATCCTCCGCCACTCTACTCCAGTAAGGCCCTAAGGTTTGAATGGGCCATTTATCTGAAATAAATTATTATTGTTAAGTTTTCCTAGAAACTACAGTATGAAGAACCCTTCAAAAAGGGTACATGTATTAAGGTTTCTTAAGAATCGATGACGAGTGCGTGACACCCCTATTGTTAAAAGCGTTCATGGACTACAGTGACCGTTTACCATGCTTCTTTGCCTCTTTCATGGTATAAAAACAAAAAAGTTTATTACACGTTTTATTTATTACAATACAACCTTAAATTATATAGATAGAGCATCGAATCTCAAAACGGGTCAACTTTTTGTCAGCTAGTTGTCAAATAGCTGACTCGTTTTATTTATCAGTGTTCTATATACTTACACACACAACGTATCTGTATGTAATTATTTAATAAATGAAATGTGTTTTTACGTATTAAAAAGATGCAAAAATTATAAGACAAAATAAATATAGAAGCTATAAAGGTGTTACTCGTGACTATTTATCACGCAAAATTGTATGAAAAAGTTGACCCGCTTTTCTCGAAACATTTGTATGGAGACACTCTATCTATATAATCCAAGAATACAAAATACTCGTGGTATATTAAAATGTATCTCTTCATCATAAATATGTAACAGAAATCCCAAAAATAGAATAAAGTGACAAATTGTATTACAATTATGACCTTTGTCATATCATAGACAATTAATTTAATTTGCAATTGTGCGGGCCTGTGGACTAATATAATAAGTATATTCAATTGGCGACTAAGTCTGTTACTGTCGGCGTCACAGTATAATTGGAATGCAGCCGACGTCGGGCCGGACACTCAACTGTGGAATGTTTAATCTACCCCTGTTTTGTAATCTTCGCTCGGATAACTGAGAAGAAAGAAAAAGTTAAAAGCAAAGTCTTGAGTTCTTTTTTTTTTTTTTTATTGTAAACAGAAGCACAATTTACAGTTTAATTTTTTTATATGATGCTCTGTAATTGAGAAACGAAAAAAGTCGAAGGGAAAATCTTTCGTTTGTCTAAATATCTTTTTAAGTTTAAAATAGAATAGAATTTAATTTTAAGCATTTTTAAATAATAATAATTTACAAATTCAAAAACAATGACCTTTTCATTTTATTTTACTCTGTTTTATTATATATTTACCTATATTTATATTGAGTATTTTTTTTTATTTTCCCGAATTTTAACTGAGAGAAAATGTTATATCTAGTTATATCGACATTTAAAAATCAAGGCCGTATTTAGTTGCATACATTTTTACCTACTTTAAAAAGAACGAGGTTCTCAATTCGGTTTTTTTTTTGTTTGTTACCTCAATATATACATTACTGTTAATCCCAAAGGTTAACTAGTTCAGAGTGCTACTAGCATTAACTGTGCCTTTTGTACCACATTTTATTTTGGTCAATAAAGTTATTTAGATAAATAAATATATGCAAATTGCGAATTTTATCAAAATCAGTTCAGTAGTTCAGTCTTGGAATCAAAATAATTGATTTGACCACAACCGAGGGTGATTTTTCTGGTTTTTTTTATGGGCCATAATCTTAAATTACTATAAATATAATCAAATAAAGAATACATAAATAACATAAACACTACAATCTAAGATGGGCACAGACACTTTATGATATACAAGAGATGGGCATTAACTCAATAATTTAGATAAAATGTATAATATTGCTCTTTATTTCAACGTTTCGACAAGGTTATACCGGCCGTAGCTACGAGTTGACTGACGTAACGATATTACGCCTCCGTAATGTATGTGTATATGTAATAAATTTTATATTAATATATATATGCATATATTTTTTTACAAGCGACTTTATTCACAGTCGATTCGTGTCCACAATATGTTAATTGATCGGAAAAAATAGTAGCCTTATATAATATATATGTCCTTTTTCATTTCAAAGATAATTTTCAAAGCATTTTAAAGTGTGTATACCAAATTTCGTGATAATTGATTGAAAAAAAAGTCACGAGGTATATCATGTGATCTTATGTTATTGCGTGGCTACCGTGGCGCCCCCGTTAAACTTATATATCCTCAGGCGTCGCCCAACCACAATAAAGCCGGTTCTGAATACTTACGCCGCATATTCTATCTCTTGTGCGCAAAATCGTTGCGTTACTATATCTATATACATTAATATCTACGACGTAATCTATTGTACTCGAAAGTTACGCAAATCCAAATAAGGGTCCCTGAAGATGGTCATGTCTAACACAGTACAATTATTCGTAATCATTTACGAATAATTGTCAAAAATAATCGTATTACGTAGCATAATTCTAATCACTACATGTATAATATGTATTATTGTCTAACAAAAAAGCATTCGGAATGAAATAATAATAGACAAAACTACAAAAAAAAACAATAGAACTAATTAGTCATTTTAATTCCTAAATCGCTCTACAGGGGCAGCACCAGCGTTCACTTGCTAACCACTTTTAAATAGTAAAAAACGTTTCTCAAATTTCAAAATCTGCCATTTTGTACTGAATACTACACAAAAGACACTAAATGTAGTCAATAGAGAAAAAATAAATAAATTGACAGTAAATATCAAGCAATTTTCAACAATCGCAAATTGTTTGCGAGATACTTAATCAGGAAGATGTTGTGCTCAAAAGTTACTCACATCCAAAATTACGAACCCTGTTTTATTTGTTTTTATATAAAACACAGTTATACACTTCACAATTGGTTACTGTTATAAAACTTCAATATTTCGGAAGTTGGGAACATTTTCGTAATTACGGCCAACTTGGGTCGAAGTTCGATTCGTCTCAAAGATTAATCGTCGAAATCGGCCCATTGTTCCAGTTGTTGTCGACGCTTTGGGACCCTTTTATGAATTTCGCCAACCATTGTTTTGGTGCGGATTTAAAAAAGTTTAAAAAAAAGTTCTTACACAACTGCCGCGCTGACGTTCCACGTTCGAAATCAAAATACAACTGATTATGCACCCTAATACTATTATAATAAGGTTCATCCCGGGAGAGCGAATTATTTATTTCGCGGCAAAATAATGTTTGCCACCCATATAACGAGGTCACGATGTTTTTTGCTTTTTTGTCGGTCATTTAAAACTTTCATTAGTGAATTCGAGCGCGCTAAAATATTTTCACTTTATTTTTCTTAAAGTTATTTAATTAAATTGCTCTTGTAGTCCATTGCAACGACTGCGTTGCTGTAACCAACGACACACAGAATAACAGTTAATTAAAATATTTCTCAATTAAGTTCTCAGAAAATGCAAATTTTCACCAATAACGCCACAGCATTTATACGATAAATACGGAATACAGGCATCGCCACACCATGCCGGTATTTATAATTGCCTCTTACTCTCAACTACTTTCATAAGTTATCTACGATGTATTAAGATCATAGTTCTGGTTTACAACCTTTTTTGTTTACTTAAATAAATTTATAAATAAAAAAAAAAACGGAAAATTAAAATTCAAAAAAAGAATACACGACATAACGTTACGCACCATAGACTTAGTATAATGTACTAAAGTTGCGTACTTCGTGACACCGCTTAGAAAGCATGGGATCTGCCTTGAAATGAAATTCCGAAATTTCCGACTCAATTTCGTGTTTCCATTGATATCGAAATTGGCCCATTAAATGAAGCTTAACATTTTATTCGTCATTAATCCTACCATAAAAGTCCAAAGGAGGGATATTTTAACATTTTTAATATTTTTATAAACGGTGGGTATGTATTATGTAATTTTAACATTATATTTGTGTTTCATCGATTCCGAAATTTCGTAAAACATATGATAAATCCTCATGTACCGTCAATGCGAGTGAGAAGCTCATTTTCTATTACTAAATATTGATTTTATTGTTGAGGCTAAAGCAAACACCAAGTGCATGCTTTAGCCTCAACAATTCTCGACAAGGATATTATTGTACGGCTTTCATATTAAAATATATTATTACCAGAGGAAGACAAAAAACAAACTGTACAAAAGTCGATTGCTTGGGTACCTCTGTCCCATTCGTGTTTCAACCGTGAAGCAGTTGTGTTTGCATGGCTGTATTTCGGTTTGAAGGGTGGGATATGGCGTGAATTTACTAGGTACAGAGGAATAACACCTGAGTCCTCAGGAATGGCAACGCATGGGGGGTATCATGGGCGAAACAGTATACTCTGTTATGTCCATGGTACTGCTCATGTCTATAGGCGACGGATACCACTTTCCATCAGGTAGGCCGTCAGCTTGTTTGCCATTCTAAGTTGTATAAAAAAAAATATTAAATACTTATAAAATGTTAACAATAAAATACTTATAGCTATTCACATTCAAGATTCGTCAATCACTCATACCTCTTTTCGCTTACATTAACCAAAAAAAGTGAACTTGAGTAGAATCACAAATTTCCATAGGTTGGTTGGATCCTCTAAAGATTTTTACCAACATATAAGTTACCCAATTTGTTACGTTGTGGACCGGTATCCTTTCAGCCTCAGCCTACCCTCGTCGGGCCGGATTGAGCCTACGGGGGATGCGTTGGATCAAACTATAAATATGCCTCGCCACCGAGCTATAAGATGATTGTATATGCTATTTAACCGCACTTGAGTATTGATCCAGACTTGTGTATAGGAAACTTTATTATGAAAATTGTAGGTCATCCTTTTTTTTCTTTTCTAGTTTTTACCCACCATTTTGTATGTATTATCAGGACATATTGACAAACCCTTGAATTATATAGATAGAGTGTCACTATATAAATGCTTCGCCGAAATTAGGTCCACTTTTTTACATATGTGTACATGAATAGGGTTGCCATAACGTATATTTATTACTAAATATATAGGACAAATTACATTGTAAGGATTGAATTAAAAATAAAAAATAAAAATAAAAATTTATTAATATATTTGAAAGAACAAAATAAACAGTACATAATAATTCGTATGTGTATACAGACATAAAATATGTAATCAATTTAACTCATTGAAAATGGACGTCATTTTGTATAATAGATGTATAATTATTAATTTGAAAGGAACATATGTATATTTATTTTATTTCAATAAAAAATAGTTCTTTATTTAAATAAAAAAAATCAATCTGTTCTGCCTCTACATTTCTGTCACTGTCTAAGAAGTCATCTATATCCTCCTCCGTACCAAATTCTACGTGTATACTGATAACTGATAGAAATACATTGTTTTATATATATATATATATATATATATACACAAATATTATACATAAGTTCTATACTAGATATGAAAAAATCCGCATAAATACTTTTTTTCCTCATCCGTAAATACATATCCTTCATATTTTTTTATATTTTTATAAAAAAATAGCCAAACTAATACAAACAATATTAATATAAAATAATAAATATAACTGAATATTAATTAATACAAATGTATTGTGTGAAATCGAACCCGCGACCATTGGAGATTAGATGGTATGTTAAACCGCTACACCACTAAGGTCGTTAACTACCTCTGTCTACTTCATCAGGGATTATAGTCGTGATAATGTTAGTTATCATACGAAAAAGGTGATCCCTGGTGCGCAAACCAAACAAACGCATGTGTGTACCCTCTAAGGAATTCTTATTATACTGCTAACATTAGTTTTTTAAGAATATTGTTACTAATAAATATTTAATAGACCAAAAAGTCTGAAATAAAAATTATTATTATTATTATTGACTGGAAACCAACAAACGCATCCCTCTAAGATTCTTATTAGCTGAATGGCGTACATCAAAGTCAGGTACACACGGAATCCCAACTTATCCCTCATACGTTCCCAGCTAACTATACACACCGAACGCTTTCATATTCACAAATATGGAGATCTCTTATTTATTTTTAATTAACTCATAAATATTAGAAATGTGAAAGTGAGTTTATTTGTTCATTACTATTTGATGGTTTTTTTTTAATTTGTTCTGTAATAATCTTTCATGAAATATTTTTTTTATACAACTTAGAATGGCAAACAAAGTGACGGCCCACCTGATGGAAAGTGGTATCTGTCTTCTATAGACATGAGCAGTACCATGTACCATGGACAAAAGAGTATACTATTTCGCCACTGATACCCCCCATGCATTACCATTCTTGAGGACTCGAGCGTTATTCCTCTGTACACTGTAAATTCACATACCCTGGAAATTGTGTTCTTCTTTTACTAAATTGAAAAACAACAAATAATAAATAGAATAGTAAACGTATTACAAATATATTTACCATTCCATTCTGCTATTTACACCAAAATAAATATGTATTTATTTAACAAAGTATGTTTATGGAAGCACTGAATTTATTAATAGATTCTTATACTAGGCTGAGCCTGTCCTGTAGAAAACAGAATTCGTATTACCATAAACATGCATTCAATAATTAATATAGGCATTATTACATATCTTTTTATTCTATATACTACGAAGTCCTGACTCCCAAACTAGCATTAACTGTATGTCAGGAGTCAGTGCCTTGTACATAGATATAAGAGGATGCTAGTTGACTTACTGAAAACCCTTAATCTGGAATCTTGAAATTTTGTAAATAGGATTTTTATATAGCGTAAGTGAACAATAAGAAAGGAGTTTTAAAATTTAGATCTCTAAGAGAATAAATCTTTCAAAATCTCCGCATACGATGTCGCGAGTAAATGCATATGTTATATACTTCATATTATGTAATAAATCCATAAACTAGATTCTTTAATGGGTGATAATGAAATGGTAACTCCATCAGCGCTATCGGTATACGTTGGTGGGACACCGTTGAGAGTTGGTAGGTGATGATGAAAGCAGATATGTTAGCTCATCATGACGAATTCCACTACACTTTACCACGATACTTTCCAGGGGGAACCGCGTGGACATCTACCTGATAGGGTGTTTTGCTAGTAATGGGGAAATTATGCCCCATTACTAACAATGCCTTTTCTTCCCCCTCCCCATCATAAACTAGATTATTATTACATAAGATGATGAATTAATTTAGTAACCAAATAATAAATTGAATTTTACTATTTACATTCGATAATTTACTGTGCCCATAGGACTATGTCAAACAAGTAGTTTACAATGTTTCTCTTAGAATTAATTAGTGTCAAGCAGACCCTTTGCATATAGTGTTGGATGGACTATCCAAGACAGATGTGGGACAAAATTAATCAAGCAAGAAGGCCGACATTAGTAGAGTTCGGATAGGTTTGACCTTAAGAAATTAGGGGCTACGAAAAACGCTACTATGAAGGAGAGGTAGCGGACGCACTATAAATACATAAACCAAACGTAAGTTAAAAAATTTTGTTCACTGTAATAATAACATAACATCTGATAATACTTGTTTAATAGTCGTACATGATAATTGAAAGGTAATAACTACTTAGAAAAGCTATAAAATTCTCACATTTATAAATAAAAAAGAAGAACAAAGAAAGAGAGAAATATTTTTACTGAAGTAAACTTATATTCAAGTATTTTTTATTAGTCAGTTTTTTATGAATTTGAACGCGATAAAATATTTTGTTTTTGTTTTCAGAAACATTAAATGTATTAAATATATGTGTATATACTTGGGTTTGCTGGAAGAAAACTCTATCAGAATTAAGTTCGCCTTTGTACTTTTGATTGCCTCTGTCATATTTTTATAACTAATGTGTACAATGAAGTATTAAATAAATAAATAAATATACTTTCATATGCAGACTTATATGAAAGTATATGTAACATTCGCTCATAAAATTCTTCTCACACATATGTCTACGTGACAGAAGTAATAATTATAATTATACCATTTTGCGAAACCGAAAATGACTTTTAAACATCGAGTATAACTTATAGAATTTTAAATATAAAGGTGAATAAATAAACTGATTTTGCAATGAATGTAAGCGCAAAGTATTATAATTAATCAAGATTGCTCAAGCCTTTAAAGTCCTTAATGTTTTTTTTTTTTTTTTTTTTATTTCCTTTTTATATACAAAGAAGGTTAATGAGTAATTCAAATAAAGAAGATAAAGACAAATGTTAGTATTTTGTCGAATACACTTTGCATGAAATATGTGAATAATATTTTTAATACCTGAATACACCTCTGTTTTTTTTTTCCTCTTTTTTTTAACACAAAGCTGGTAAACAAGCAAAAAGCATCTGATGGTAAACGGTCACTGTAGCCTATGGACGCCCGCAACACTAAAGATGTCACATATGTGTTGCAGATCCTGAAGAAACCTTAATATAGCCTTTTTAAAAAACTCCATACTGTAGTCTCTGGGGAGAACCTCGGCAGGGAGCTCATTCCACAGCCTGAACGTTCGTGGGAGAAAATTCCTTTGAAACCTTTTTCTATTTCAACGCAAGCGTAAAAAACTATTTATAAGTTACAGATTCGTACAATTATTCTTACAAACAGTCTATATAATAAACTATTATTTACTTTATTTTTATTTGGTCTCTTTCATCAAAAAGAATCGACAACCTATTGTTTTGCATTGTTATGCTATTGCTTTTTTTTCAAAAAATAAATAAACAAATGTTGCAATCTATTTAAATTTATTTTGACCTATTTCTTGGCGTGCAAACATTGTGTTTCGTGGCCGCAGTTCGCAGGGATGTCTTACAACAGTTAATGTGACCGGTCCCTCCTTAACAAGAGTTGAACATTTAGTCCGACATGTTTATGTCCTGTGTATCGAGGCGCTTCACTAATTGGGCCGCCTCACATAATATTGCGTTTCTCGAGTGCCTACTTTATCCATTTGTCACTTGTGTCTGCCAATTTTGTTTAGATTTTTAATACTGCTAGTATCTTTCAGATGGTGAAAGTGAATATTTCTCTATACTACTATGGTGGTAAACAAGCATACGGTCCGTCTGATGATAAATGAGGTATGGTGAGTAATGGGGTATAGGAACTCCATTCTATAATTTCAAGGAATATTTCTAGTACTATATCCTGTTTTATAATGATTAAGCGATAATTTTAACCTTAGAGTACAGGTCCGCCTTCGCCAACTGCATAGCTCCTAATCATGCGACTTTTTCCAAGAAAACGTTTTAACACATTTATCGGCACGGACCTTAAATTGGAAATATCGATCGATCGCTTCCATTTTCATTCCATTATAAGTCTTATCCTTCTTTCTTTTGCAGTAATGGCCGCCTACGAATTTGACTCCATAATTTACCAATGTCAGAATTAGAATGACACACAGTGCATTCTCGTGTCAACCCACTAATATGGATCTATACGTCCAGTTCCCACTGCTTTAATAATTACTAATTTTTAACCGCGACTTCGACCGCGTTACTGGAATAAAAAGTTATCTATATCCTTGTTCATTCCAGCTACTATGTGTACCCAAATTTTATAGTTCACTTTTGCATAATACTAATAAGGATTACATAATTTATTTTAAAGCAAAAAAGCATATTCCTTTTTAAAAGGCCAGCAGCACGCCTGCAATGTCTTTGGTGTTATGAGTGATCATGGGCGCTGGTAGTTACTTACCATCAGGTGAGCCGTATGCTCGTTCGCCTCCTGTGTTATAAAAAAAGACCCAGTTATTGCCATTGATTATTTAAGATTCTTGATGTGATTATTGAGTGTGTATACAATATGTAGGACTCAAATACGTTACTTAAACGTTGGCAGAAATTTGTCTCGAGTGACGTACATCTACGTTCGATAGCTACTGTAGACTAAGGGTCTACCATGAAATGAATTTCCGAATTATCGGACTCAATTTGTTGCTTTTGTTCATAATGGAATCGACCCAATAAATGGAGATTAACATGTCGTTCGTCATAAATCCTACTATAAAAGTACAAAGGAACGATATTTTAGCATTTTTAATATTCCGTAAAAATGGTAGTACCAGATAACGGTAATACCAGAGGGAGACTTTGTACAAAAGTCGATTGCTTGGGTGCCTCTGTCCCATTCGTGTTTCAACCGTGAAGCAGCTGTGGTTGCATGGCTGTATTTCGGTTTGAAGTGTGAAGTTCGTGGGAAGGAATAACGTCTGAGTCCTCAAGAATAGCAACGCAGGGGGGGTATCATGGGCGAAACAGTATACTCTGTTATGTCCATAGTACTGCTCATATCTATAGGCAACGGTTACCACTTTCCATCAGGTGGACCGTCAGCTTGTTTGCCATTCTAAGTTGTATAAAAAAAAACGGTATCATGTTATTTTGATATCAAATTTGTGTTTCTTTAAGAGCCGAAAATTCGGAAAACATTTTCTGGTAGACCCTCTAGTGTAGGAAGGGATCGTTTGATCACGCATGCACACGACCACGTTTGCTACTGTTTACGCGTTGAGAAGCAATTTTGCAACCTTTAAATCCTACGAGACGATGTCTTTCCGATTTTTGTTTCAAACTTATTGTTAAGTTTATATATATTATATTATATGTGTACTATATTTTACTTATAACTACATATATACTTATATGAAATATAAACATAAGAATTAAGATATTATTGATTTACTCGTAATACAAAGTACTTAATTTAAATTTAGGATTTATTTAAACTTTTATTATTTTAACAGTTTTTAGACAAACAGTGACATTTATTCCATATTTATTTAAATTAATTCAGACTTAAATTATTCTTCATTAAAATAAAAAGGATAAATGAGGTACAATTGCAGTATTTATATTTAGATGAAACCGCTCACAATAGCTTGAGGTTACGGTACTTGGATATACTTAGCTTTACTTATACATATTTATTAGTAAGCGTATTGGAATTGAAATGGTAACACTACCTGCTGTATCAGTACATGCTAGCAAGGCACCAATGAGGGATGATAGGTGAGGATAAAGCAGGTCAATTAGCCTATCGTTATGAATTCCACAAGAATTAACCAAGATGGTTTCCAAGGGGACCCGCGTGAAGTTCGACCTGATAGGGTATATGGCCCGCAATGGAACTGTTATACCCCATTACTAACAAACCCTTTCCTCCTGGACTACGGTGTTATACCCTCATACCTTGTAATTTCATTACTTTATCCCACACTTTAAACAAAAACACAACCATGCTTCGAGACAGAAAGTCGTGTGACACAGAGATGATAAACAAACTTTCACATTTATAATATTAATAAAATATCAGGATAATGAGAGACATAATTTTATATATACAAGAGGGAGACTTTGTACAAAAATCGTTCACACTTATGTCCCATTCGTGTTTCAACCGTGAAGCACTTGTTTGCATGGCTGTGTTTCGGTTTGAAGGGTGGTATATGGCAGTGAATTTACAGGGTAGAGAAGAATAACACCCAAATTCTCGAGAATGGCAATGCTTGGGGGAAATCATTGGCGGAACAGTATACTCTGTTAAGTCCATAGTACCTACTGCTCATGTCTATAGGCGACGGTTACCACTTTCCATGAGGTGGGCCGTCAGCTTGTTCGTCAAAAAGTATGTATTTATGTAATATATACTATTATAAATACTTATATGTAAGTTTTGCATATGATAAAAAAAGAAAAACGCTCATGGTAATAAAACATATGTGTATATGTTTTATTACCATGATCGTTTTTCTTTTTTTATAAATTATACACTTTTACTTCTTACGCCAGTAGCTACCGTCTTTTTTCTTTTCTCCTCTATCCAAAAGTCGATACATATATGTACATATATCATTATATTATTCTTTAATGGTATAAAAAAGAAAGAAATATATCTTTTATACTTGTATTTTAATCATATTTCTCTTTGATTCATCAATATCAAACAACACGGCGTGAATTTACAGGGTACAGAGGAATAACATCCGAGTCCTCAGGAATGGCAACGTATGGAGGGTATCATGGACGAAACAGTATACTCTGTTATGTCCATGGTACCGCTCATGTCTATAGGCGACGGTTACCACTTTCCATCAGGTGGGCCGTCAGCTTGTTTGCCATTATAAGTTGTATAAAAAAAAATACACGAACAAAACTACGAAAGAAGCAAATATAACAGAAAATATTAATGGTGTTTCAAATAAAAGAACCAAACTCAATAACATTTCGTCTGAATCCAATAAAAAAGTTGAGGCGTAGCCATTTCGCGGCGTGCAACGGACGGCATGAATACCTAATGATGGTAGTCAATGCACAAAGAATATCTCTTGTGCAGTCTATTTGCATGCACTTACAGAGCACTTAAAATATCTTAAGAAGCATCCAACCAGTCCGCTCCGCGCTCCGCGGCTAATTTATTGACTCGCTGCATTATAAGCGAAGCGAATTGTGAGGTTATAAGGTGAATTTTGTTGAGTGAAGCATCTGGGCGTGATGAAATCAATGATATAGGTACTTTATCATACCAGCCTTTAACTGTCTACTGCTGAACATAAGCCTCCCCCCTTGGGGAGGTTTTACCAGTAATTGCCACGTTTAGCAAGCGGATTGGCAACCAGATTTAGGCTATAAAGATATTTTAAAAAGGACGCTGCAACCAATCTCTAACCCTCCCTTAGTCACCTCTCACGACACGCACGGGATAGGAAGCGGTGGCCTATTCTATGCTAGGAGTATACGGCGATATAGGTACTTACTAAATTATAAATGTGAAAGTAAGTTTATCGATTTTGTTACCTCTTGACACCTTCACGGCTTAACCAATCTTTATGGAATTTAATATCCAGGGCATAGTGAAAGAGATCGACTACTTTTTATCCCGGTCAGTGAACATATCCCGGTCACGTGAACGGGTAGTCGGGTGTAAAAGAAAAAGGTAAATACGTTATTAGCGTGCCGAAATGAAACCGGAATGACCTCTCGGTTTAACACACCACCTTACTTTCAATGATGGCTTATACCCAAAAAGTGTTTGCAGATTTTGTCAGGAAAATGTTCGTCTTTCAATAATAATAATAATAGATACTCCCAACGATCACGGGTTCGATTCCCGCGTAATACAATTTTTTATATTCATTAATATATCTATTTTGTTTCACTAATCAGGTGTCTAATTTAGTATAGTATAACATTATAATAAACCTGGTACAAACTCTGTTTAGCTTGCTTGGAACCAGGTGGTGCTGTGTGATATTTTTGTAAGCAATTAATTATTTTTAATTTCAACAGCGAAAAAAATTCTTCGCTGCACTTATGGCTGCCTGGTACATAACGCTGCTAAACGCTGTGTGTACTATATGCATAAATACTAAGTAAATAAAAAAAAATGTCTATAAAAACAAATATTGAATCGATTCGAGGGGGACCTCTGGGACATCTAGGACTCGAATGGGACATCTTTGTACAAAAGTCGTTTGCTTAGGTACCTCTGTCCCATTCGTGTTTCAACCGTAAAGCAGTTGTGTTTGCATGGCTGTGTTTCGGTTTGAAGGGTGGGATATGGCGTAAATTTATTGGGTACAGAGGAATAACACCTGAGTCCTCAGGAATGGCAACGCATGGAGGGTATCATGGGCCAAACAGTATACTCTGTTATGTCCATGGTACTGTTCATGTCTATAGTGGACTCGGTTCTGGGGTTCCTATTTACTATTACCTACTATTTGATAGTTTCTCGAAATATTTGCTTTAGGAAACATTAATACAAAATTCATAATAAATTTGATTTAAATCTCTCAGATACTTAGTTCATATTTAATCCTTACAATAAAGAATTCGCTGTAATGTCGAATTAAAATTTTAATTTAGACATAGTTTTAGAGAAATGGCGCCTTGGAATAGACTCCATTGAAATTACATTCATTACGCTCTCATAGTAGAATTAACAATATTAATTTGTATATATTTGGCCGTAGCCGTATAATACCGTAGTACGTATAAAAGAAAAAAAAAATAGGTGACGCCAAAGAAATATTTCGCGCCCTCACTCCATCTCCCTGAGGTGTCGTTCCTTTGACAAATTTTCGTCGAAAACCCAGGATTATTTCACGGACGGCACCGGTGATCCATCAATCAAATGAATTTGGTATGTCTTCGATAAATGTAGGTAGTTTCTTACCTACGTGGACCATAGAGACGAATAGTGGCTGGAGTGGCAGTATGAAACAGTGCGGTATAATTTTTTAACGATTTTCCAACCGACTTCAGAAAAAGGAGGTTCTCAATTCGTTTGTATTTCTTTTACATTTGTTACCTCAAAACTTTGATATTTATAAACTGATTTGGAAAATTATTCTTTTATCTGAAAGGATATATTTACAGATTGTTTCCATAGAAATTTTATCAAAATTGTTTTTGTAATTTATATTCAAATCAATATAACTTGTTTGACAACAAACGAAATTGGTATTCTTCACATTCTATTCACTTTTCATTAATATTTACTATATTTGTTATTTCTCTTTTTACTTAGTGCAATAAATTGTAAAATAAATAAATAAATATGTTTTTATAAACTACAATCTTAAATTATTGTATTAAGGTTGGCAACGCGTGTGTTACACCTCTAATACAATGTCAGGTGAAACCATTGTGTTAATAAAAAGTAATAATACTGACCAAATAATTATTATTATTATAATAATAAATTTTAAGTAGCAATTATTTTCATCTCCTGTTTAATATTCCATGGTATTGCATTCATTAACAATTGTAAACCTTTTACAATACTGTTTGTACAGTATTGTTATGCACACGCACAAACGAAAAATTGTATTTAGCTTTATGTATTTTTTTTTAAATCATTTATATTATTTAGCTTTTTATGTATATTAGTATATGTTGTAACTTGTGTGCTGTAAGTAATGCAAATTATCTATCTATCTATCTATTTACTTTATATATGTATTTTTTTATATATCAATGAATGAAACAATATGTATTGTTATTATTATTAAATTAAATAGAATTTAAATTTAGAGTGTGATATTGTATTTTGCATGCCAATCCCAGTTTTAGCGAACATTTAATATATATATAAAAAACAATATATATCTTATATATATATATATATATATATATATATATATATATATATATATATATATATATATATATATATATATATATATATATAAGAAATCCCTAAACAAGGGTTCACGGTACATATTGGTGGTCTTTTTAAAAAATAAATAATTTTATTTCATTTAAAGACGCTAACCAAATAGTCTCAACATCACAAACAAAAAATAACAAAATATTTACTTGAAAACTTATGCATTACGTGTGAAAGATACGAATGTAGGAATACATTGTTTAGAACCTGTAAACACTAATTACCAAACAATATTTCTTTTTCTTTATTTCTCCCCCTTTTGTGTTTATATGTCAATATATTTTTTAGCCTTTTCACTCTTGCAAATTAATATGAAATTCCATAGATATTTCATGATATTGGTATCATCATAACAACCATTAACTGTCCACCACTAAACACAGGCCTTCCCAATTAGGGGGTTTTGCCAGTAGTTGCCACGCTTAGCAAGCGAGTTAGCAACCGCAGTTATGTTTTGGTGACGTTTTAAAAGGGTCGCTGCTACCCATCCCTCGACCTCGACCTCGCTGTGGCCCATTCTATACCGGGACCACACAGCAATTGGTATACGAGTACCTAATCTTTTTTATGGGGGGAAGGGTTTAGTGATGGGGTCTAACTGACCCATTGCCGGCAATAAACACTATCAGGTCGACCTCTACGCGGTTCCCCCTGGAAACCATCGAGGTTAATTCTAATGAAATTTGTCACGATGAGCTAACTGACCTGTTTCATCCTTACCTATCATCCTTCACTGGTGCCCAGCCAGTGTATACCGATAGCGCGGGTAGTGTTACCATTCCATTACCACCCATTAAAAAAATCTCTTTGAACAAACTTTTTTGTACAGACAGAACCTATGTTTTTTATGTTTTTTTTTTTATACTACTTAGAATAGCAAACAAGCTGACGGCCCACCTCATGGAAAGTGGTAACCATCGCCTATAGATATGAGCAGTACCATGGACATAACAGAGTATACTATTTCGCCCATGATACCCCCAATGCGTTGCCATTTCTGAAGACTCAGGTGTTATTCCTCCGTACCCAGTAAATTCATGCCATATTCCACCCTTTAAACCGAAACACAGCCGTGCAAACACAACTGCTTCACGGTAGAAGCACGAATGGGACAGAGGTACCCAAGCAATCGACTTTTGTACAAAGTCTCCCTCTGATATTATTTCTGTCAGTACTAAAAATGTCTTTCTATATTATTATTATTAACTATTTTAATAAAATTTAAATAAAAGAATTCATAGAACAATATACTCGTAGTACATTTACATTGATTTAAACCAATTATTAAAGTGGAATTGAAATCATTTGAGATATTTTTTTTAAATGTAGATACTCGCACGAGATTTCATTAAATTCTCATTTAGAAACATATATTGTGAATAATTTATTATTCTATGGGAATTATTAAATACCTATACCATAATAAGTAGTAATAATTAATAACAAATAATAAGTAACTATTGCTAGCGTTCTTTATATACATGTCACTTATAATAAAGTCCAATTACGAAGAAGTATTTATTAGTTTTCCTATAAAATAAAACTATTATGACTTGATTAATATTTTCCATTTAATCTCTTTGAACTAAACCGTCTTTTAAAAAAACGCTCACTTTTTTACTTTATCTGAGCAGTAAGTGCTTTATATTATTCTCAATTTCGTGTATAATATAGTATATGTCATATATGTGTAAGTATATTTGTTATTTATATATATTTATTCGTTTATATATGTAATTTTAGTATGTATATATATATCAATAATTAGTAGTACCGCATTCGAGTATTCTGACACTTCCCTATGGTTGACTGGGAGAGAATGCTTTTAGTATTAAGTCCACCATGTATGCATATTTGTACTAATGAATAAATAAATAAATAAAATAAATCTCTAAGATGGTAAACTTTAAAATTTATAATTTCAGATTTCTTTCCTCTAATTAAAGATAGTGTACCACAAAAAATGCCTATTTTAATTATGATAAAACCAGTCATTTTGATTTAAAAACTAAACTAGGAACCGATTTTAATAAAATTTCTATGGGACCAAGCTGTAAATACATACCTTCGCATAAAAATAGAATTTTCCAAATCGGATTACAACTGACAGAGTTATGAGGTAATAAACATAAAAAAATAAAACCGAATTTAGAATTAACTCTTTCATTTCTAAGTCGTTTGAAAAGCGATATTAATCATAACATAATTAGTAATTCATTCATTCATGTTTCTGCCATGTAGCAGTAGTATTTTCATGGCTGTGTTTCGATTTGAAGGGTGAGATATGGTAGTGAATTTACAGGGTACACCTGAGTCCTCAGGAATGGTAACACATGGGGGGTATCATGGGCGAAACAGTATACTCTGTTATGTCTATGGTACTGCTCATGTCTATAGGCGACGGTTATCACTTTCCATCAGGTGGGCCGTTCGCTTGTTTACCATTTTAAGTTGTATTAAAAAAAAGTATATATCTATAATCACAGCACTATAAACAATCATTATCAATTACTGTATTTTAAACCATAGAGAAAATAAAATTTAAATTGTTTTTTTTTCTTTGCGTTTTTATTTTTATTTTAATTGAATTCAGTGTTTAATTTGAAAATTATAACATATTTATTACAATATATACATTTTTATTAATCAAGTTTTTAAAAATGTATTGAGTGAATAATTTTAAAATAAATCTGATTACATCGTAAATGTAAATTAAAAA